TCCCCTCCGTAAAGCTGCCATAGGCAGGCCCTTCCGTGAACCCGCGGATCGCCTGGTCGAGCGTCAGGGCTTCCTCCGTATGCCAGCCATCAGGAGATTCGTCCGTGCCGCGACCTGTACGTGGGCTTCTGCGGGTCACGGCGGCGTAGATACCTTGGAAGGGGTCGGCTGGTTCGACGGGGAAATCGCTCCCTAGCACTGGATTGATATCTAACAGTGAACGCATGCGATACGCCTCTTTCGCTGTGCGTTCCTTGCCGAGCCTCCGTTCGGCGTAGGTCATGTCGGAAGTGGCGTGCGTCGGCTGGATAGAGGGTATTATGCCGATGGCGTGCATGCGCGCCTGGTCGTCTTCGTGTATGATCTGTGAGTGCTCGATGCGAAAGCGATGGCGGGCTTGGCAGTCTGCAAGAGACTCGCAAGGACAGAGGAGCCTGAGAGCGGCGATCTGCGCATCCATGGCATAGCGGTTCGCAAGATCACCGATCGCGTGAATGTTGACCTGGAACCCCTTTGAAGCCCACGAGACGGCCCGGTATGTGAGCTCAGACGCATTGACGAGCAGAGAGCCTGATAATCCTGGCCGGTCTGCGTAATCGTCGATCATTGCGCTGCCCCAGCTGCCGAGGGCACCGTCTACATATCGTATATTAGAGACTAGATACTGTGAGATGTAGGAGTTCCAATTCAAGACTCACCTGCGAATAGTTTGACGCTCTGAATGCTCAAAAAGCCATTCGGGTCGTTGTATCGTTCGACGGGGTCAGGGCAGACCGCGTTCCGGTCGTAATATTCCGCCATCGCGTAGACTCTGACCGTCCAATCCTCGCTGCCTACCAGTTCCTTGAAGAGATTCAGGTTGCCGGCATTGACTCCAGCATCGTGCATCCCTACAAGTCCGTATTGGTTGAGCTGTTTCATTGCGCTTTTTACGAATACTGCTTTCTTCTTGTTATCTGGCTTCGGCCATAATGCCATGATAGGTAAGGCGGCGTTATCACAGAAAACACCCATTCCCGGGTGTCTAACGATTTCTCCACCGGGAACATCAGCTATATCATCCGGTAGAAGATTTAGAACCGCCTGAGATACCCATATGCAATGCACGTCTACTCGATCGAGCATGATATACAAGTCCTTGAGATCTTTGTCCGCTGCCAAATCTTCCTTTACAGCATGTTAATAAGGCCCCACCAGGTTCAAACCGACAAAGCAAGCCCGCAGTCGAGCGCGAGCGTGAAAATGGAACAAAACTCACAGCAGTCGGCATAGCCCCAAGAGCCATCTGATCCCACCCAACGCCTCTAATCCATTCCTGCGCCGTTCCCGCGCCGGGATGTTCATTTACGTAGCCACGGACGCGAGCACGAACCTCGTCCATGGACGTCGAGCCAAAGAGGTCAACCGAGTTGAGAAACTCGCCGTACTGGAGCAGATGTCCATGGCCGTCCCATAGGCCAGGCATAGCATATCCGGAGTGGGTGGTCTGCGCGAGCTTCGAGTCGCTGCTCACGCCAAAAACCTTGGAGAACTTCCCCGTGCGCGAGACAGAGAAGCAGTCCGCGTCCGCGGCCACGGCCACGTTCGTTCGCACGGCCTGATAACAGTGTGTCTCGGCGAAGAGATAGTCGGCGGCGTCCTGACGAAACCTGACTAAGCTCGCGAGCCCGACGATGGCGGCTACGGAATAGAGCCAGGCCATGCTCCCTGCGTATACTTAATCAAGCTGGAGTGGGGTTTGGCAGCAGAGGCTTAGGAATGGCAGATGTGATTTGATTTGATTTAATTTAGTTGGGGAGTCCTGAATAAGTCCTGCCGCAGTGGACGATTAATTCATCGTCGGCCTATTGAATGATAGACGCAATGGTTAGTCACCTCTTTGGATTGTGAATAGGTACGGTAAGGGACCTGGTATTCAAGAATGTGGGCGGTGTGGGACCCAAAGGATGCCCGATACATTAATAGAAACCATTATATTTTGGATCTGCTATGCTAAATTGCAGATACTGATATACAATCAATACTTTCAAATGCGAAACATGGGAATGCTATCCATCACACGGTCACATTCTCCATTGTTCGCTTGCGCCGATATCGCGTTGGTTCGGGGTCGGCGTCCATCTTGGGCAAGTGTATGTGATTCGCTTAGATAAGATCACATCGACCATACATAATAATATTGCATGTTCTTCTCGTACTAGCCGCCGTACCTGCATATGCCCATTAAACGCTGCCCGTGTGCCTGTTAATCTAACCAATTTGAGTAAGCACACTCGTAAGTCTTGGTACATTACATACTATAGTACTATCTAGTTGCACTTGCTTGAGGCACCCATACAAGGCGCTATAGTTTGATTATACCGTGCATGGGTAAGCCCCGGCAACAATGTAATACTATCTATGAAGCTAACACCATTGTATATCCGTGCCTCATACCTCTCTTTTATTTCACCCTCCATAATGCCGTGGAAATAGGCGGCTCTGATAACTTCCAACGATGAGTAACAAACTTCGTCGGAACCACTAAGCTTCATCGGCGTAACTTCAGATTGAGCGTTTAGGCCACCAAGATATGGACATGACCTTTGCTTAACCTACAAGGCTGAAACTAGTCTCATCAATGTGCCAGCATACTTCCCACCAACAAGCCACGTCTCCGTTGGCGTTGTCATCAGAACCAGGAATGGACTCGAACATGTCCGTTTATGAATAGTCAGGCTGGTTTTGGAGGCCATGGATCCCTTTCTTCGGAAGCACGAAAAGAACCATGTCATTAATTAACGCTACAATGGCATCACCTGGTTTCGACTGGACCCGGATTAGAGAAAACAGACCGCTCGTGGTAGCAGTGAATCGCTGTTTGCTGATTTGCAAAGTGAAGTGTTCTCTAACAAACCGGGAAGACTGTCACCCATTTTAGCCTCGCTGTGCGGATCCGCCTTAGCGTCCTTATACATGTGAGCTTTGTATTTCTGTTCGAAGTAATCCATAAGTTGCTGCTAAACTGAGTCGTCCACATTGCACCTAGCAGCGTCTTTGTAAAGGCAGAGAGCCTGGACCCTCCCGTAATATACGGGAAATCACCGAGATTAGCTGGCTTTATAACTCAGGAAATTTGCGTCTATAGTTCGCAACAGTAGAGATATGTCTTGAAAATTCGATTTTGCGATCCATGATATCAATAGTAGAAATATCCTAGTCCGATTCTGGCTCTTCCTCTGGTCCACATGACCCTGAGAGAAGTGTACTAAGGCTTTAAGAGCGTCCTCTATCGCATGCTTCGGTTCAAACTTTCCTTGGATCATGTCGATTAAATACCCGCATAAAGTCATGAGTCCAAGGAAACGATTTCGTAGGATCAGACGAAGAGAGGATCTACCGAGGAACCATCAGAAACAACGTCAGATTTAACTACCGAAACTTTGAGGGGGAGACTGGAGAGAACTAAGAGCGATACGAATATGTTCGAAGAAGAGTTCCTCGATTACATTATCGACTGAGGTAATTTGATTTTACTACCGCTTACGTGAACCCCCACTGACCGGCGTTACCAGAGGATCTCTAGGACACGTATGACGACGTCATTATAGACGAGGAAGCAAAAGAAACCGTTCGCTACTTATTTTCACGCTTTAACGACCGGCGAAAACCTGGATCAAGCCTTTCCTCCAACTGGCTCTGTCTTACCGGAGCCTTATTCTACGGCCCGCCTGGAACTGGTAAGACGCACCTGTGCAGAGCTACTGCCAAGGCCTCTGCAGTAAGTCTACTCGTCATCGATACGGTGACAGTTCGAGCCAGATGGACCGGCGAAGCGGAGAAAAGTATCAAAGCGGCATTCACATTGTCTGCTAAGCTGTTCCCCTGCGTGCTATTGATCGACGAGGCAGACTCGCTGTTCTACCGTCGCTCTTCCGACGACAGTAGCTGGCGACGAAGTGCCCTCGCTTAATTCCTCTGCGAGATGGATGGACTATCGAAGGGTGACCATGCCCCGTTCGTGGTGGTCGCGACGAATCGTCCACAGGATCTGGACGAGGCGTTTTACCGTCGGTTGCCGCAGAAGATCCTATTTAAGCTTCCCGATGAGAAGTCGCGAGCCAAGGTTTTTGGGCTATTTCTGAAGCAAGAGGGCTTGAGTGCATCAGTCAAGTATCGACAATCTGGCGGCGCAGATCGACGGGTACTCCGGTTCTGATTTTTGGAATCTTTGTGCGGAAGCTTCACTAATCTTAGAGATCGAGGAGGCGAAGGCAGTAAGTTCGAATGCAGAGACCTAAAACAAATTACGACTAGACCTGGAGTACTTCACGAAGGCCCTCAAAAGAATTCGGCCGACCGTCTCTTTGCAAACTCAAAAGCACTGGTCGGGGATTGTCCGGCGGTTCAATCCGGCGGCGACTGCACGTCAAATGTGGAGAACGCCAACATTTTCAAGGTGCCCGGTCCTATATGAACGCAAGTTCGGCGAGTATGGTATGAGACTGGTAGTCCATAAGGTTAGATAAATCATACATTCTGAGAGCGAGGTTTGATTTAGGCGTGTCGAATTGTAGGTTGAATATACGGCATGAAAGTAACGAAGTAAATGACATGTAGGGACCTGTAAAGCAAGTTATGCCATTATGGCTGCCGAGTCTTGCTGCCGCGTATTGTCATTTACAAGCTTCTAGAAAATCAAAGGTTAAGACTTAGAGTCAACGCTTGCAGACGAGATCACTTTCGATCATGATCTGCACCGGAACTGGAGACAGAATATTGTGTTATTGAAGAAAATTAGAGAACATAAAAGAAAGAGAGAAAAATAGAAGAAAATACTTCAACCGAGGGAATAGTGTTCAGGTACAGACAGGCTGAGTTATTATTTTCCACAACGCGAACTTCTTACTCCAGACTTCATGCAACACAGACAGATGCTTATTTGCACCTGATAATGTGACAACACTGAGCTGCTTGGAAGAATTGGGAAAAAAGAAAAAATCTTCCAAAAATATAGAGTTTGCTATCGACGCGGTTCGAACGCGCGAGACTTTCGTCACTAGTGTTATTGCTCGGATACGGGCCGTTGCCCTGACAACTTAAAACTAGCGCCTTAACCACTCGGCCACGATAGCGTACAACTTTTAGAGAAGAGAATATCTTGATTAGGAATGGGCAGCAGTAATATGCTACATATAACGGACATGCCAAGAGGAATATTATCCTAATTAAGATGTGTCACGTGTAATCCATATTAGTTCCACTAAAACATATGTAATATAGTGTTTATAGTATTATAAACGAGTTTCTCTTAGTAGCATGCTTTCTTATCTCGTCCGCTAGTAAAAACTAAGCTTGACGCTGTATACATGTCAGGTGTATATCTGCCAGCACCCTTTAAGGTGGCTGTATCTACAGTTCTGGATATATATAGGTGGCTTGGAGCCCCCATATAGATCTAGAAGGTTCAGGAATCAATTAATCTTACTATTAAGCCCTAACACACACTTTACCTGGCTGTAGCAACCTACTTATTCATTCCGGGACACCCTCCCTTGACAATACAGCCTCACCGTCTATCGCGTAGTACAGGCTTGACTGCTTTGTAGTCCCAGATAGCAGCCTTTAAAAAAAAAATAGCAGATCCATGTAACCAGAAAAGCTGTAGTGTAATATTATTATACTTACCCGTAGCATACACACAATAAAGGTCTTCTTGTTCCAAGATATCGAGAGGACATCATACCCGTCAGTATCAATCGCCTGATATTCTTTTTTAGCCAGACTAAGGGCTTTCCTGCGCAGTCCTCTATAGTTCGTAATACTTCGGGATACTGTATAGCGATTGTTTCTCGCGGCAAATCAAGAATTGAAAGAGCTCGGGAAGCTCTTTGGACTGCCAGGTGGTTCCACTTTTCGGGATCATCACCACGCATATGTTTCTCTCGGTAGAACTCCTTAGTAGGTTTGCTTAAAGCGTTGGCTGCACGATGGCCGGAGGATGATAGATCAGAGAAAATAACTTGGATATCCTTAATACTTACAGCGAGATCGATAGTTACCGAAGCCCCGCCTTTCGGGTTTGTATGTCTGGATGCCTTTTGTCGTTTGGTCCTGGTGGTATTTAGATAATTGGACCGATAGCCGCTTCACAAGAACGGATAAAATTTGCAAACAGTCTCTCGGTATAGATTGTGACAAGTATACGTATGGGCTATGTCTTATACACAGCCACTTTCAGAAGCTCCAGGCGGACAAGCAGCGGCTCCGTACGGCACGCGTGAGTAAACACGTTTCCAAGTCCTCCCTGAGCCAATGGTCATGCTAAATCTTAACTTGGACATGCGGAAGACCCGAGTATTCCAGAAAGACGGCCTATTCCGCGAGACGGTCTTGGGATCATAAACAAAAACAAAGATCAAGAACAAAGTAGAGGACTAATAAAAAACTTGAGAAAAAACTTAAACACCTATAATGTGAACACCCAGGTACTTAGTAACCTATAAAATAAGTAATATTATATTAGTACTAGTGTTTATTAAACTAGAGAACTTTAAATATATGCTTTAAGCAAGTACAGCTGGGTAGTTCTATATTATGTAATTTATTAATACTTACCAGTGTGCTAGTTATCTCGAGTCTTTAACAGTGGCCCAGTTTGGTAGAGAAGGACATGCTAGATGAGCGATGGCCATGTCTACGCTCTATAATAGCACATATTGAGCAAAACTTTCTTTATATACGGTAGGTAACCTATTACGGTTAGTTCACGTCAGAATATCGCACATAACGATGCTAAGTGGTTCTATAGGTCGACAAGGACCTACCGCACAAACCTCACCTCTACAACACACTTCTCGCAAAGCACGTACGGTCTGGTTACGCATCGCGTTTCTTTTCCCACTTACCATCCCTTACAGTTAATTGTTTTTGTTATTAGAATTAGATTAAGTAGCGAGATAGATTTGTTTTTTTTGTTTTGTTTTTAAGTAATGGGCAGTTGCAGGCCAGCGTACGAGGCATTAACGCATCGCGAAACTGCTGGGCAGCTACTACTACTGCTACCAGCAAGCCCTAAGTACGCCTCGTGAACTAGCCTGCTACGCTCACGCTCCCCCAATACAAGTACTATTGAAACCAGACCAAGTGCCCTGAAGTATGCTGTAGATCATTAATAACTACTTCATTCAGTACATGCTCTGGTAAGATTTTCCTAAGGACGGTGGTGTGGCGGAACGGAAATTGGCAGCACAGAGATGTCTCGGCGTCTAGAGAAGAAAACGTAGGCATCAAGCTAACCTACCTCCCTTCGGCCACCTAAAGGTGCCGAGGCATTGCGGAGATGATATGTTTTTCAGGGCAGTCGTTTTTCTCAATTTGAAGGCACATACAGAGAGCGCGACGAGGCAAGTGCATTGACAGCAATCATATACACAGGTGGAAGAATAGGGTGTGATTAAATTGAATTTTACACTCTTCATTGTCGCTATTCACCCGAGGTTTATGAATCTATGAATTCTCGTATTTAGCATATAGGGAGGGTGGTACCGCCGGTTTTCCCGCTCTCCTTGATAAAGTCTGCAGCTCTCTCAGCCACAGCGTATACCGTCGTCTGGATATTGCCGAGCGGTTCTAGGGGGATCATACTAGCGTCGACGATGCGAATATTGGAAGTCCCGTGCACGATCAAGCGCTCATCGACGACACCACCCAGCTCTCTCGGCAGCATGCGGCAAGTGCCGGCGATATGGAAGCAGGACACCGTTCTCCCTCGCACAATCTCTTTTGCCACCTCCAAGTCGTCACCGGTGGCATCTGGCAAACGCTTGAGCTCTGGGTCGATCATGTCCTTGTAAGGAGGCGTGTTAACGATCTTCTCGACGAATCCAACAGTACGTGCGAGAATCTCAAGGTCGAGCGGATGAGAGCAGTAGTTTGGGTTCCACGTTGGTGGGACTGAGACATCCTTGGAGGAGATGTGTACAGATCCTCGTGAGAAAGGATGATTGAGCAAGGCCATAACACCGATGCAATCGTACGGAGCATGAGACGTGAACATGTCTGTCAGCGTGTCGGGATGAGGGGTCACAGTAAGGGACCCTGGGAAGCACAAATATTGGATAGCTGGTTCCCGCTCGGCCTCAAGCAGTTCGCGTATTAATTTGAACTCCCGTTTTTGCACAGGGTTCAACGCAGGCCCGCCAGTGAGATACTTGTCGAAGAGGGCCTTGCGGTCAGCCTGGGTCATAACACCATTCCGATCCGCCATTGGTACGTAAGCAACACTGGTCCCCATGCCAGCTAGCGGACCCTGCTTCGTCGAGGCATACTGCTCAAAAGCGCTTTGGAACTTAGCTGGATCACGAAGCCTATCGGCGGATGGGTAGTCCTTCTTCACCGGGAACTGCTGTGAAGTCATGAGATGATCCTGCATATGCTCACCAACGTTAGGGTTATCGATCAAGACATTGATCCCGATGTTTTCGAGCAGGTCGCGGTCGCCAATGCCAGACAATTCTAGTAGCTGTGGTGTTCTTATGGTTCCCGCAGCTAGAATGACCTCCTTGTTGGCAGTGATAGTGATGACTTTACCATCCTTGTCCTTCACCTGTACACCAGTTGCAATAACTAGGCCATCACGGGTTTCGGTGGTGATTTTCTGCACCGTTGTTTCCATCAGCACCGTGAGATTTGGTCGTTTGGCGACCTCGTCCGTGTAGTAGGCGGTAACTGATGAGCTGCGAACATTCGTCTTGCTTTCAATGGTCGATGAGTTCTGAAAAGCGCCAACAGCCCTGCCGGTTCGGGGGTCCGTTTTCATCTCTAGTCCTAGCGCGGCGAAGGTCTTAAACCAATTCTTATTCATGATAGAGTATTGATCGTCGAAAGAGAGTTGGACGGGACCGTTGCCCTTTAGATCTTCCTGGTAGTAGGCTAGACCTCCTAGAGTCTCACGGATTTCTTGACTTGGCGGATGTGATGTGGAAAATCTCTGGAAGTACGGAGCGAGATCATCGAAGGACCATCCTTTATTACCCATCTTGCCCCATGAGTCGAGATTCGTTCGCGAGGGAAACATTGCCATCATGAAGTTGGTCAGTGAACTGCCGCCCAGGACTTTGCCGGTATCCTGACGGAGATGGCGGCCATTTAGCTCGGGCTAATGGCCATGAGGATGTCAGTAAATCCGATTTTACGTTTAGAAGTCATCGGCAGCGTAGGATATCGTACTTGTGATGTTGACCGAAATGGCCAGATGAAGCGATCGTCGGAATAGGCACCAGCGACAAGACCCGGAGTCTGAAGAGCAGGGTCGTTTCTCTTGTCAGCTCCGGCCTCGATGACCAAAACACGAACATCGGCATCTTCACTGAGGCGGTTCGCTACCACAAGACCCGACGTGCCGCCGCCTACAACGACGTAATCAAACGATTCACTCATTTTCTAGCAAAGTGATGATGATGAAACTGCGACAAAAGGTACGGTATAAGAGGAAGAAAATCTAGAGACCCAGCAGGTCGACGATTTGATTCTGGGGGATAAGGAGAGGTTTACTAATAATTACAAGGTAAGCTGACATGGTGCCGGCAAGAGACTGGATGCCGCATCTTCAATGCAGCTTGTGCAACAAGAGTGGTAGCTCTCTAAGCATTAGTTGGATGGAGATTTGTGTTGCAGCTTACTGCACCATGTTCATTGACCTTACCAACAAGGGGTAGGTAGTGGGTTGCCGATCCGCGCCACTGGGTGGCCAGGTCAGAATACCTACGGCAGCGCTGCTTTTCCTACAGGTCCTTTCAAGGGACCATGACAGCGTAGGTCGCGAGAAATGTTTGGATTATTTGCAAATAGGGACTTGTAGATTGCATGACTACTGTAGAACACGTTCACAAATTGAGGGAATTTTAACTTGAAGGATCTTCAGGGTCTTGCGAGTTTGGGGAGTCAGCATTGCAAAGTAAACCACCTTTATCATAAAGGCTGACCGACATAGCCACGGTCTTAGGAAGTCTCGGAAGTGCATGAGTGCAAGAGGGGCAAAGGGGCATGAGGGGTAATGGTAAACACCCTGACACCCATGTGATAAAGTGGGTTGCCCAAGCGGGAGCTATTAGCTAAAAGATGCCAAGAACAA